CCCCACCCCCCACCCCCCACCCCAACCCATTCACTAGTTGCATGTGGAGTAGGCACCACCCGTTGCTAGGAAGCAGGTAAGTGCGCAAGTGACCTAAATTTTTGATGCCAAGTGCGCAAGTGACCCAAAGTGCGCAAGTGACCGAAATTCCCAGTGCGCAAGTGACTGCCCGGCCGATCAACTTATCAAGTCCTATCAAATCTGATAAATGTATGCTGTTCATACCTTTGTGTTTCTTGCTCTTGCTGACCACGTAGCGCCCAATCAACCTCGACATTCTCGTGTCTTGCCCCAGTTACTTTTATGAGAGTGTTGGTTTTAGTTTTATGAAACAGAATCGTCAAACGGAGCACTTTGTCAATCTGCATGGATAGCCGCGTTCAATTGGGTGTCAGGTCGCAGACAGGCACAGCTTCTCCACGCTTGTACAACTGATTGACAAGGAAATCGAAAAGAGAGAGGTCGCGTTCTTAGAAAAGGCCACAGCGCAAACACTTCACCTTGAAGCCTTGATGTATTTACCTGGCATTGTTTGCCAAGATTGAAGAGCATTATGCTAATGAAGAGCGAGAGAAGGAGGCGCTACCTTCTTGGCTTCATTATGTGGCAACTAAAAAGCCAACGTAGTGCAGATCAATATCTGTGCTCTCCGGAGGATTTTTCTTGGTCAGGAGGTTTACAGTTGTTGCCTTAAGCCACACCATAGGACGGCCACATTGTTTCAGATGAACGCTCTCACAGAATCTCACTCGGGACATAACTGAAACTTTGAGCGTGCATTGTCCGTGTGTAGTCTACTGTTCTTTCTACAATGTTCCTTTTCTTTGCTGTTCAGTATGATGTTTGGCGTGTTTGTCCATCAGTTTTCTTGCATTAACAGTTCCTGTGAGTGCTACAAGTTTTGCTGTTTTTGATGCTTCCACTCTTGCTTAGCTTGTTGGGAAGTTGGAACATGGGTTTCTATTGATGCTGCCTGCTTCATTGGCACCAAACGTTTTTCACCTCTTGCGACGGACGCGATTCACAGTTGTCAAAAAGCAATGCCAAGGGCTGGCTGGAGTAGCTTTGGATAGAATCCTCGATGAGAAACATATATGCGTTTAGTGCGTTCGCAACTCCTGCCTCAAACACAGATTGGTCGACAGCAGCTCTTTATATACACAGTTAGTGGAGGTCCGGGTTGGCCGGACTAGCACTGACACGGAAGAGGGCATGGTGTAGACAAGAAACCCAACTTGTGGTGCTGCCTTTAGTACACCTCGAGGGGGCAATAAGCTGACAAGGTTGAAAACAACAATGAAGAGCCTTGCCCAAGGATTTAGACTCGACCCTAGGCATGTTCAATCAGCATGTTCGCAAGGCACAGTTGGTGCGTCCTGTGGCTGTTGGAACTGCACAGACTTCCTTGCAAATTGGATAGATAGAAATCAAAGACTTCCTGGGAGCACAGCTGCTGCATTGGCTCTTTTGTTTTTGTGAGAGGCTTTTCAGCATGTTTGTGAGCCCGGTCAGTTTGCTAACTCATTTGGCCTATTCTAATGTTTGTTGCCCAGATTTGAAAAGAATTTGCCTTTCAATGTTCAAATATCAAGCTCATGGTAGAGTATTGAGGATGTTTCAATGAGGCATTCAAGTCAAGTGTGCAGAAGCAGTGCTTCGCCGGTTCTTTTAGGGAGTTCTTCTTCTGCTCCTGCTGTGAGGCTCAGCAAGCCTTGAAGGCCATCGAATTTGATGAGAGGCTTTCAACACGGATGTTTCTACTTGGCTCTTGTCCTTGTGCTGTCACTCTCGCTGACACAGCTATCTTATCTCAGAAGCACTCCGTCTCAATATTCTATATATATATATACTTCAATCTACTCCATGCAAATTCGTGCGATTTCATTCGGCTGAATTTGCGTTCCCAGCCATGGCCATTTGAGCTCCATAGAGCACATGTGCAGAGAAGCCAGCAAGTCAGCAGAGACTTTTGCCCTTGCCGGAACAAGGGCAATTCAAGTGTGAGTCTCTATGATTTCTCTCAGTTCAATCTCAAGCCTGCGGAGTGTATTCTGTTCATGACACCATGTACCTTTTGCGGCATCGACGGAAAGGCCGGCCTCAAAGCTTATTCAGACTCTTGCCGCCTCACCACAAAGCAGTCGTGTCATAACTGGAATTCAGGATGTGTATGGTGTGTCAGCCTTTTCATTGCGGCACAATGAATCTATTTAAGTGTTGCGGCAAGGTCAAGGTTGTCAACGGGTTCATGGTTGCCAAGGAAGGCTCTCGCAGGCCTTGCCTGCAAGCTTCCAGAGGTGCCTGGGCGGTGTTGCATCTATGGACCAGTAAGGGAATCTTAGTTTGTCCAAGTGCGGCAGTCTTGATGGAAGGCAGGCAAAGGAACAGAACAAAAACGATCACAAAGGATGGTTCAAAAAACACTAAGCTTTGGAGAATAGCAGAATTCGCACGTGATGCAGACGAAAGACAAGGGGTCATGAACAAACCAGGGTTTTACAGTGCAAATCCCTTGACAGAAGGAAAAGGGGGTAAGATAGCAAAGAGAGAGGAACCACGAGGGGAAGATGTTTTCAATGCGTCTTTTCTCTTTTCCTACTGCACAACATTTGTTTGCGTGGCGTAGTGTTTTGTTCGTGGAAATTGGCTGTGGACACATACATATCATGTATATATACATATATACACACTCTTACACACTTGGCACAATGCAATTAAAAGCCTGGTGCTGGCTATCTTTAGGTGGCAACAGAAACCGTTGCGAGTGAGCATGCCCATTGAAAGGCACTCCGGAATGGCAGCCGTGGTGGCCGTTTGAGGAGGTGGGAACATTGAGTGCAGCTGTCGCCATAATGCCAGTTGGCCTTGAAGTGTCTTACAGTGAAGCATCGCAAGCTCCGCAACTCTGGTAGATTCTGGTAACTCGTAACACTTTGAATCACTTAAATAGGCAAGATGAGCTTCTTAAAAAGCAATTTTGCTCAATTGCTGTTGATCTTTAGTGTTTGACGCTGAAAGCCCTGTTTGTTGGCCTTTTTTCATGTCATTGCTTTAGTCTTACTTGTTGAGCCTCTTGTACAGTAGACTTAATCCAAGTTCTGCAGGCAGTGACGTGGTGCTGGGCTCTGGTGATTTGGTGGCTGCGACGGTCTGGCAGATCTGCTGCAGGTAAAAAGTACAGGTGCCCTGAAAAGCTGAGTTGTATAGTATCATGCTCCAGACTCTTTCTCAGAACGTTGTATTCTGAAGAGAAGAGGTTCTACAGATATAGTTGCTTTTCGAGCGTCGTCCAAGCTTAGATTCTAGGTCTTTGGGCTGTTTACAAAGATGGCAGTCGACCCACTCTGCCCGCCTTGTTGGTGCATTGATCGCTGATCCTGAAGTTTCTCCAGGACGGACAGGCAGGATGTTGAGAACTTTAACGACCGCTTCTTAGGCCGCAGATAAGAAAGGGTTTAGCCGGCTTGCTTCTTGATTGGTGGCTGAAACGGCAATTGTCTTGGCACTAAATTCTTAATAGTCAACCGAAGTTCCAATTTGCAGGTCGCCGTGTGAAGCGACAGCAGATGAGTGAATCTGCCTCACAATTGGCTTTGAGGCTACAATCTTCTTAGCTATGCCATGATGGCCAGTGACAATAAGAAGTACCGCTCTTTCCAACGAGCTATCCAGCAATCCATTGAGCATTGGGCAAGCTTGGGTGACTTGGCTTCAGCATCTCAAGCTTGAGTGGCAAAGTGCAGAGAGAGAGAGAGAGAGACAGAGTGAGAGAGAGAGAGATGGCCTCCAACCTAGTAGCGACGGCCAACCTAGTACAATTCTTCTTGTTGAAAGTTGCAGCATGTCTTGACAACCGTGTCGGTTGAGTTGGCTGTTGAACATCACATCGTATGCATGTCATTTTGACACAGGAGAGGACACTGTTGTGCTGGAGATCGGCTGTGGTGCCTATGCACCGTTCGCACGGCTGTGCGCCGATGAAGGGGCCAAGCAGGCCAGCTAGACATCAACCAAGTAAAGAATTGAATTGTCAGAGTTGGCTGCAATGTCAAGATGGCAAGGTATACGCTGTCGAAGGCAATACCTGGGCAGCAGAGCGGGCTGCGCGGAAGGTGCCAGCGAATGTGCAGGTGTGGAAAACTGGAAACCGTTGAAACGCAGAAACCAAGCACAAGCATGTGAATGAACGCCAAGCTTCAATCTGAATTGGGGTGAAGGATTGATTGGCGTCACGTTTGAGGTCTTTGCAGGTCTGTCCCAGCAGCTTCCCAGTGAAAAGCTCGCTCCAAGACCCAATGTGGCATGGCGGCATAGCATAGCATGGCATGGCTTTTTGATGAGCTGCTGTGCAGTCTGTCCTCTCATTCTTTGCAGTCAGACACACAGCTAGGATAGCAGCAGAGAGGATGGCCTTTCTCCAGGTATCAATTTAGCATGGATTAAGTCTGTAGAAGATTGAGGAGGGAGATTTGTGGACTGCCTGGGACTGCTTGCCACCAGAGAAGGTCGTTGTGATGGAGACCATCGGAGACTGGGCAGCCAACGAGTTTATGGCAACTTGGCATTGAAGGAGACCCCTTCTATGGGTAGAGTTAATCGCTCTCGCTGCGACAAACAACCTTGGCAACTTCACACCCACACACTTTCTGCACTTGTCACAGGATGTTACAGGCCATTTCATCCAGAAAAGATCAATAATCCCACTCACTAACTAAACCACCAACTAAAAGCAAAACGAATCCCACTTCCAAAGATATCCACAGACAGCACCCTCTGGTTGGTGGGTTCAACCCAAACCTGGTGAACCTTCTTCATCCCGTTGGCCGTCATTCACCTTGACTGAGTCGCTCTTTCTTCATTTGGAGATCCCTGACCCAGCTTCGGACCCTATGCGGCCTGTGCTCCTCAAAATCCTCAAACACCTTTGGTCCAAACGCAGCTACTCAAATGCAAATCGGTGCAGGTGAGCACATTCTTGGATGCCTCTCGAAGATTGTGTCGTCCAGACACAAAGTGGATACCAGGGCAGGTAACTCACTTGCACGAAGCGTATCGAAGAGTATTTAAGTCATGTGATTGTCCAAAGATGCCATGGGCAGACGGAAACCCACTTGGATTCTTTGCTGAGGTGCGCACATGCTATGTGCCAGTGGAGACCCCTACCTGGGGCTGTGAGATACCACCAGGCTTATGGCTTCTGGGCAGCGACGACCAGCGCAGCAGGTGGGCTGACTTTTCTTTCTCACTGACTAAAGTTAGAAAAAACTTTCATATGGTAAGGCCAGAATCCGTGATTTAAACAATATAAAACAAAAAGTCAAACAAAAGTCAACTGGAAAAGTCAAAGTCAAAAACAAGTCAAATTGAAAAGTCAAAAAAAAGGCAAAAACAAAGGCGAAAAAAAGTCAACCATTGCCATAGACCACAGCTCGAAAAAGTCAAAGAAAAAGTTGGAAAAACAAGTCAAAAATAAGTCAAGACTGTGGCTCCTTGCCTTGGCGGATTACTGGAGTTACTGGAGTCAAGAAAAGTAAAAAAAAATCAACAAAAAGTCGAAAAAAGTCAACCATAGACAGACCACAGCTCGAAAAAGTCAAAAAAATGTCATCAAAAAGGCGAAAAAAGTCAAACACAAGTCGAAAAAGGGTCAAAAAAGGTCGGCTCTGGGCAAATTGTCCCTTTTTTGACTTTCTGAAATTTTCTGATTTGACTTTTTTTTTGACTTTGACTTTTGGGATTGACTTTTTTTGATGTTTTTTCAAAAGCCCTTTTGATCAAGCGCCTACCAGGGGCGGGGCGGTCCCTGCGGAGTCTTGGTCATGGAGTGCCATGTTGTTGAGCCACATCTGGCTGATTTAGATGTGGGTACACGATGTTCGGTTGTGGTCAACATTGAATGGAAAGACCAAGATCACTGGGTGCTAGGTGAAACGGTCCACAGACGCCAGAAGATCTGGATTCGGCATGGGATCGACCATTTGGAGGACACCAAGGTCACATTTCTTGATGTGGTGATAGTCAAGGCTGGACCGGTTCCGTCTGCAGAAATGGATGGCATGTCCTTTCATTTTCCCCGCAAAGTGCTCACACCGGAGGTCCTGTGTCAGGTGGTCGAAACCTGCACTGGCCTTGGGGCCCTTGGGAAAGGAGCGATTGATGCTGGGTTCAAAGTCATGGTTCAGAATGAAATCCGGAGTGAGATTTGCGACTTCTTGGAGCTCCAACAAGGCCCTGTCATTGTTCGTGGTGACATTGGCGAGACAGCCACAGTTGCAACCATTTTGAGGCATGCACCTTCCGCTGGAGTTCTGACGGCAGGGGTTTCTTGTCAGCCCTTCTCGAAACTGGGTGATCGACGAGGTGCAGCAGATGATAGGTCGAATTGTTTGCCCAAAGTCCTTCGTGCAGCTTATTTGATGCAGAGTTCCATCGTGGTGCTGGAATGCGTAGCTGATGTCACGAAGTTCCCTGCATTTGAAGAGTGCATTCGTGCCTTTTGCCGTGACTCGGGCTTTCATTACGAACGTGTTCTTTTGGAGCTGGGGGATGTCTGGGTCTCCCGAAGGCATCGGTGGTGGGGTGTTCTTTCCAAAGGCAATTTTGGGCCGTTCAAACTTTTCGATTGGCAGGGGATTCGGTCTAGCCCCAAGATTTCGTTGGTGTTGAACAATTTTGATACTGTTCCCCCCCCACCTTGAGCAGCAGCTTCGATTGACTCTCTACGAGCTTCGTTCGATT